CTTCAGAAAATATTAATAGAGTTCGATAAATCTAATTATAATTTTCTTGAATATATTATACATACTTTGTAATTATATACATACTCGCATAAATCAGATTATATAGGTGATATTCATAGTCCGATCTTATATTCAAGATTGTCTTAAATCCAATCACAGACTATCTTAAAATATTTTATCCAAACAATGACCATACAGCGTCGCAAGATTATATAACATGATCTTGAATATAAGATCAACTATGAACCTATAATGTGAGCCTATAATTCTCCTAGGTTTTATAAATAAAGAATTGCAAATTGTAATATAAAGTGAGAATCGTTTTCCTTAATGGCAAAATGCAGAGAACTTATTCAATTTGAAGTTTGCCGTGAAGGAGTTGGAAAGAAACTCGAAGAAATGTGAAAAGGAAGAAAAGATTGAGAAAACAAAGATCAAGAAGGCGATACAGAAGGGTAACATGGAGGGTGCTCGCATCCATGCAGAGAATGCAATTCGACAGAAAAACCAGGCCCTGAATTATCTCAGAATGAGTGCTAGAGTGGATGCAGTGGCTAGTAGAGTGCAAACTGCATTGACAACTCGTAAAGTTACCCAATCCATGGCTGGTGTTGTCAAAGCTATGGACGCTGCTATGAAATCGATGAATTTGGAGAAAATCTCTGGACTTATGGACAAATTTGAGAGTCAATTCGAGGATCTGGATGTGCAAAGCTCATACATGGAGAATGCCATGTCACAAACCACAACTACCAATGTACCTCAGAATGATGTAGATTCTCTGATGCAGCAAGTTGCAGACGAAGCTGGGTAAAAATTTTATTTGTTATTTCAAATTCTTTCTATGATTAAAACAAAGAACTCAAATTTTTGTCTTACACCTACATAATGCAAAGTAAAATTATTTTAAATATTTTAAGTAACAAAAACTTTTAACTATATTTAACCGAGAAAAAAATTTTTAATTATCAGCTGGTTTAAAATTAACTTACTTTATGTTTCTACAGATTGGAGTTAAACATGGAACTTCCATCGGGTCAACTTGGCAGTATTGGCACTTCAACAGCAGTAAGCCAGGAACAGGATGAATTAACACAGAGATTGGCACGACTTAGAGAGTAATGATAAACTGCTTTAATGTATATTGTAATTCAAGTGTTTTATAAATTATGTAATATATCCCCAATATTATTATAGTAAGCATTATAGTGTCATATAATAATACATGTATTTTCCAAATCTCAACTCTAAAGGATAAATCCAAACAAATAAGGAAGGAATAACAGAACATTCTTAGATTTAAAACAGCCTGGTAGTGTACATGTAGCACACATTCGGCTTCAGTAGATATACAAAAATGTTACAAGCTACATTGGCTTACAGATCGATGAAGCATCGAGTCCATAGACAATTGGTATCTTGCTATTCATTTCGTAGATTTCCAATTTTACAAAATTTTATTTTTCATAAGCATTAACTAAAATATGTGATTAATTAACATTATCTGCTTCTTTTAAAACAAAAAATTAAAGTTAAGATTAATTTTAATAATAAACTCACTGAATTTTTTATTAATGTACTTTATAATCGTGAAAGGCAATCTCATGAAATACTTTCACTATAAAAATCTGTTGTACATTATATAATAGGAAATAAATATTTATTGTTCATTAATTTTCGAAGATTATTTTAAAACTATGATAACATTTTATGAATAATTTTTAAATTGCTATAAATTTCAGTCAGTAAAACTGCAGAATATAATTAATTTGCAGAGACAAAATAATTTAGTATTTTATATTTTAACTTCTTCAGTATTAGAAATATCACCATTGAAAATGACTATGAAATACTTCAATGTATTTTTGTAAATAAGAACAATGTAATGCAACAATTTATTTCTTTTTTTTATTAAAATACCAATTTTTATAAAAGTTTGTAACAGCTAAAAAATAATTACATGTATACACACACACACACACACACACACACACACACACACACATATTTGTAAAAATTAATAATGTATCAAATATATATGAAGCGAAAGTGCACACTTTATCACATTTCATTAAAATTAAATACATTGCATTTAGACACTGAGATTTTCAGCATACAAAATATTAAAAAATAATTTGTTACCAATAAGGCATTTATAATTAGAGATTAATATATTAAACAAATATTTTAGTAACAATATTTGTCTAAAATTTGATATATATAACACTTCTCCTTTTGCATTTGAAATATATTGAAAGTTAAAAAAATATCACTTGTTATCTATTGTTATATTTAATATATTCACAATATAAATATAATTTTTTAGCTTTTAGCTAATTCCTACAATATTAATTGAAAATATGACTATAATTTGTTTTATTTTCATTCAATATTAGCAAATAAAAATTTATTGATTTATTGTAACAAAAGCAAAGATACTTTAAATCCAAAATCTCATTCACTGGTAATTTTAAAATGAAGAACCGAATAGAACAATTATCACTTATATATTTAATGCAAAGGTAAGAGAAATATTAAAAAATTTAATAATTTTTCAATAAATACGAAAATTTTGTTAAAACTATCCTAAATATTTTATAAGTATGTGTATTTATTTAGTGAATATCTTTATTTTATTTAATAAATAATTTATAGAGTATATTAAATTATATCCTAGTTAGAACACAAAAGTCATAATGATATCATTAGAAAGTTATATGATATTATAAGGATGTTATTATGACTTTATTTATCACTTATAAGTCACAAATAATGTAAGAATTGACGTCATTATGATATTATTTGCTTCTATATTCTACCTGGGATGTATATATGTACAGAAATATTATTTTCACACAATTATGTATTATATTAATATTATTGTAATATTAACTATACATAACATATAAAGTGTTACAAATAAAATTTCTTCCAAAACTCTGTTAAAGGTTATAGCCAGGAAATTCTTTTTGCAATTTTTATGATTTTTTGGGACCTTTTAAATGACAAACAGCTGGTCCAATAACCTTAGAAAGAGGCATAAGAAACAAAAAATCATACCAAAACGAAACAAAATACATTTTAAAGTTAAAAAATCGCGATACTTTTTGCATATTTTTTACGAAATTTTAGAAAAAAGGTTTGCGATTTTGCGATGCTACATCATAAAAAAATCCTCAAAATCGTTTTTTCCATATTTGGTGCTATTTTTCTCAAAATTATGAATCATGATAAGTCAAATTTGGACAACAAATTCATGTTCAATATCCATAAATACATTAAAAGCTTAAGTGTTAAAAAATTTTTTTATTGCAGCTTGCGTAATTTTATATGAGTATGTATGTATATACATACATACAGCTCCAG